AGCAGCAGGGCCAGCCTCAGCCGCGGCGCTAACTACAGCAGCAGCAGCAGCAGCAGCAGCAGCAGAAGCAGCAGCAGCAGCAGCAGCAGCAGCAGCAGCAGCAGCAGTTACTGTGGTGTTGTAGAGAGCAGCAAGTTCCGTGATTTTGTTTTCCAACTTCAAGACAGCAGCAGCAAGAGCATTTCCCTTCGCCTCCAAAGACTGCATGCGCCGCTTGTAGTCCTCCAGCTCTGCAAGCCCCAAAACTCACACAACCATGCATGCATGCATGCATGCATGCATGCATGCATGCATGCAAGTATATGCATGCATGCAAGTATATGCATGCATGCATGCATGCATGCATGCATGCAAGTATATGTATGCATGCATGCATGCATGCATGCATGCATGCAAGTATATGCATGCATGCATGCATGCATGCAAGTATATGTATGCATGCCTGCATGCATGCATGCATGCATCAAGTTGGCTCTGGAATGCCCCAATTATACAGGTGCGCTGCATGCATGCATGCGGTGCTGCTGCTGCTGCTGCTGCCGCTGCAGCAGCTGCTGCTGCTGCAGCTGCCGTTGCTGCTGCTGCAACTGTTGCTGCTGCGGCTGCTGTTGCTGCTGCTTCTGCAGCTGCTGCTGCTGCAGCTGCTGCTGCTGCTACCAGAAGTGCTGTGGCTGCTGTTGCTGCTGTTGCTGCTGCTGCACTGCTGCTTGCAGCACACGGCCAACCCTCCAGCCGCCGCCTCCGCCGCCCCTGCTGCTGCTGCTGCTGCTGCTGCTGCTGCTGCTGCTGCTGCTGCTGGACTTGTACCTGAAAGGCAGGGGGGGTTGACTAGCTCTTGAAGACTTTCTAAGGTCCGGAGTTGTGCTGCAGTTGACAGCAGCTGCTGCTCCTGCTGCAGCACCAAATCTCTCTTCGCCCGCAGCGTCAGCAGCAAACGAGCAGCAGACAACGGGCCCCCCTCCAGCCACACCTTCAGCTCAGAATCTGCAGCAGCAGCAGCAGCAACAGCAGCAGCAGCAGCAGCAGCAGCAGCAGCAGCAGCAACAGCAGCAGCAGCAGCAGCAGCAGCAGCAGCAGCAGCACGGGATCGGGGTCAGGTACACAGGAGTAGCTCTCACAGGCCTACAGATCCGCGACGACAGCACAAACAGCAGCAGCTACAGCAGCAGCAGCAGCAGCAGCAGCTACAGCAACAGCAGCAGCAGCAGCAGCAACAGCAGCAGCAGCAGCAGCAGCAGGTTACATTTGGCCACGACTTCTCCCAAGGGCCCCCTGAGAGCTGCTGCTGCTTGGTGCTGCAGCCGGCAAAGCGACAGCACCAGCGAAGGCTCGTAGCTAGCTGCTTCGTGTTTTGGCTGGCTAGCTGCTGCTTCTGCTGCTGCACCTTGGCTAGCTAGCTGGCTAGCTAGCTGGCTAGCTAGCTGGCTAGCTAGCTGGCTAGCTGCCCCCTGGCCCCCCGAGCTGCTGCTGCCGGGGGACCCGGAGGCAGCAGCAATGCCTGAGCCAGAGGCACACACGCGCAGCAGCAAAACTGCACTCAGCAGCAGCAGCAGCAGCAACAGCAGCAGCAGCAGCAGCAGCTGCAGCAGAGGTTCTGCTGCATTTATGGCCTTTGCATTCGCCAAGGGCTCGTGCAGCCCCTTCGATCACTCCGCTAATTGATGGTCGCTAAGGGTTTAGGGTTTAGCGTTTAGGGTTTACGGCTTAGGGTTTAGGGTTTAGGGCATAGGATTTAGGGTTTAGGGTTTAGGGTTTAGGGTTTGGGTCTAGAACTCGGTAGGAACAGCTTCCGAGGGTTTGGGGTTTAGGGTTTGGAGACGGCCGAGGGTCCAGAGGATACTGGGTTTAAGAATTAGGGTTTATCAAGGTAGAGGTCCCAGGGTTTAGGGTTTAGGGTTTAGGGTTTAGGGTTTAGGGTTTAGGGTTTGGCGTGCCCGTTGCTGCTTCACATAGGGCTATTCGTCTTTCTATTTCGTCAAGAATAATTCGGCCTTGTTCGTTGGTTAGGGTTTCGCGTTCCTGCTGCTGCAGCCGCAGCAGCAGCTGCTGCTGCTGCTGCTGCTGCTGCAGTTGCTGCTGCTGCTGCAGCGGCTGCGCGGGAGCCTCTGGCTGCTGCTGTTGCTGCTGTTGTTGCTGCTGCTGCACTTCTGGCTGCTGCTCGGCCTGAGGCGCTTCTTGCTGCTGCTCCTCTTGCTGCTGCTGCTGCTGCTCCTCTTGCTGCTGCTGCTGCTGCTCTGACTGCTCTTGCTCCTGCTGCTGCTGCGTCTGCTGCTCCTCTTCTGTCTGTTGCTGCTGCTGCTGCTGCTGCGCTTGCTGATTTTGTTCTTGCTGCTCCGGCTCTTGCTGCTCTTGCTCCTGTTGCTCTTGTTGCTCCTCTTCTTGCTGCTGCTGCTCTTGTTGCTGCTGCTCTAGCTGCTGCTGCTCTTGCTGCTGCTGCTCTTGCTGCTGCTGCTCTTGCTGCTGCTCCTGTTCAGCAGCAGCAGCAGCTGCGCTTGACTCC